CCGCGCCAGATGCCAAAATTGCCCGCCTTTTCGCCCTCTCGCGAGGAAGAAGTAGGTACGGAGTATCGAGGCGTCTGTAGGTGCAAAATGGAGTACCCGGTACTCGGTATTCGGTACTCGGCGCCACCACATCTGCCCATACATATGATGTTTGTACAATGTTTGTACAGACGACATTGCGGGAGGACCGGGGATCCATGATCCATGCCCACCATCGTGGATGAGCCACGACCAAACCGTGATAACCGCTCCACTTGTCCAGGCACAGTTCGGACTCAGCACGGCCAAAGACTCCTCAATTGAGGTCTGCAAAGCGCCTTTTGTCCCTATTTGGAGCTTCTCATCAGCCCATGTTGTCTGGATAGCAAGTGCCATTCTGCGCCTTTACTTCCAGAGCTCTCTCATCAATCTCTTTGTCGGCTTGCTGGCCCCCCCCCACACACCCCTGCGGCCTGTGTTTCCATAGCCTGTCTGCTGTCCCACACCAACCCCCGTTTGTTGCTGATGGTTGTGACCTGGTGTGCTTGGTGTTGGGGGTGCCTGGGCCCTTGGTCCTCTTGGTTGCTCCTGGTCTTCTTGGTCCTGCAGTGCAGCAAAGCAGCGCACACCAAACGCTGGGGCCCTTTCCCCCATCCTTGAGCAATTTCCCCCATTGCAAGTTGAGTCTTGTTAGCCCTCGTGGCCCTTCTAAAAAACCCCTAGTCCCCGGGTCTGCGTCATGTCTGTTGCGCTCGCTTGAAGCGACGAGAAATGCTGTTGTTGCTGCTGCTGTTGCTCTCGCTGTTGCTTGTGCCTGCCGGTGACCATTGGATGGAATACGCAGTCCATGTACGGAGCACGGAGTATTCCGTACGTTTGTGCAAGAACACGTCTCGTTTTGCAGGGCCGCCCCTCTGTTGGAAACAAGAAGACGTATTGTAAGAACAGAGAGAGAGCCAAGTTATACGAGGCTGGGAAATCACGTTCAACCAGAGCCAACGTCAACTCGGTCCGTATCCTGTTGCGCCCTCCTGCCCCAGTTCTATTTGCACAGATAGTACTATGCAAGACTGGAAGAGCAACTCATTATCTGCACCTGTCTTTCTTTTGCTAGTTCACCTTGCTCTGCTCGTCCTTTCGGGCAACCTGGTCCAGGGATTGTTCAGTCAGGTTTATCAATGCGCAGCAGCCGCAGGACAAGTCAACTAGTGCTACCCCCTTTTGCACCCCCCCTACTAATAATAATACATGGCTAATTCGCGCGGGGACTCCCCTTCAGGAACTTGTCAGAGTACTTGATAACAGGGTATCTGGCACGGAGTGATGCTCGACAAGAATCCCGGGTCTTTTTTTATACTACTAGTACGCCATACTCCGTTCACACTCCTGTACCTCCGTACCCATCCATACGACTTGGACAGGATCGTCCGCTTGTACTGAGCAAGCCTCCGGCTTGGGTTTGTTTTAATTTATCCCCTCCTCCTCGCCGTTGAGCTCTGCCCTTCTACTCTGACCAGACACACCACTGCGACCAACGACAAATTGCGCCGTCTGATTCCATTCGAGACTATCCTTCAACGCTCGTCGTTGTCGCAGAGGTGCTTCGTCACCTTCACCCATCATCGTCCATTACCCTCGATGTGAGACTACACCATGGACCAGAGTCAGAATCACCAGCTCCAGCAGCCGCTCTCGCTACAGTCAACGGCCTCATCGCCGTCGGCCGATGCTTCACCGCAGGACGTGCTTGCTGAGGCTCGTAAGAACCTCCAAGTTTTGATCGATTCTGGTTTCTCCAAGGACATGCTCCATCAATGGGTTGACGATAGCCTGTCGCTACAGCATTCTGGTTTACAAACCGCAACACTCGCTTCAACTCTATCGTTACCAACAACCACGACAACATCACCAACAGCGTCACTCGCTCCTCTGCGTGATCCCCCCCCGCCTCCTCCTCCTCAATGTCCTCCGCCACCACCTCCGTCTACCGTTCCTTCCAGCCGAGCAACAGCGCCCCCAATGATACCCTCCTCGACGCCGTCGAGTATTGCCTCTGGCGACATCAAAACGGAATCCTTGGCCGACGACATGTCGCGAAACTGGTCTTCAGCTCCCACGCTCGGTTCGAATTCTAGCAGCATCATGACGAACATGGATCGGTCGGCCGGCTCTCAATTGGCCAACATTGAACCTCACCTCTTCTTCGCCGCCCCTTCTCCAGCATTTTCTCACAGGCCCAGGATCTCCATTTCTTCCGTCAGCTCCGGCTCGTCAGGACATGCATCTATTTGGTCAACAAACTCGGCTCACTCGGCATTGTCATGGCAATCTGGTGCATCTGCGCGATCTGGTTTTCCGCATGTCGGCGTGGGAATGATGCATGGCAGCTCTGTTTCGTCCCTCAACGGCGGAAGTGCAAGCAGCAGCAGCAGCAACAACAACAATGCCGCCAACAAGCAAAACATTTACTGGTGTACATCTTGTGAGACCAGTTTCAAGCGAAAGTATGACTGGAAGAGACACGAAGACGAATTCCATGAACGCTGGAGAAAATATCCCTGCCCGGAACCAGGCTGCAATAGAAGCTTCTGGGGGTCCAACTCGTTCAACCAACATCATAAGCAGTGCCATGGCTGCAAGACTTGCCCTCATGCCGAAAAAGTAGTCAAGTTTCTTCGCAAACGCAAGTACTGGGCATGCGGGTTTTGTTCTGCCCTGCACCCTGCACGGGAACGACACGTAGAACATGTTGCCCGCCACTTCGAATCCGGACTCTCCAAGGGTGACTGGATGCACTCACGAGTCATTTATGGTCTTTTGCATCAGCCGCTCATCCGAGAAGCCTGGGATACCATTGTTGAGGGAAAACGATCCGACTATGGTGGTAGGCGGCCACAATTTAGCTGGCATCCAAGCAAGACGGGTCGAGCCCAGGGCTTTTTAGAGAAGGAGAGTCCCGGACAGCTTCAGGATCTCCTAGAATTCTTTTCCGGCGACGAAAGCGAGGCCAACTGGGTCGTTGGCATCGCCTATGAATTGGCGGATATTGTCATGGGCGCACCTCCTACACCCACTCCTCCGCCACCGCAGTTTGCCAGCGGCGCAGCTTCAATGGGACCCTCTCAGCATCCTCCTCCCTTCGTTCCTCTTCCTTCACAGGCCCATCAGCAGACAGCCTTGCTAACACCGACGAGCCCCAATAACCAGAGTCCTTTTGCTGCACCATTCCAGCAAGGTCCTGTTTTCCTGCCCTCGCAACCGTTTGGGGCGGCGAACCGACCTTCTCCCGACCCCTCCAACCAATCTCCGATGGCTGCGTCACAGTCTCCTCTAGGACCTGGCGGCTCACCAATGGAGGGACATGCTCGCGATATGCGGCAGTCGACTTCAAACTCGGGCCAATCTATTGGGGATTCCATGATGGATTACGAATACTCCACGGGGGGAAGTTCATACGATAGTTGGCCGCCTAGTTTCGCGAGCCCCGTATCGGGCAGCCCGGCATCGCAACAGCATACCGGCCCTGCCCCCCCTGATTGGAATGTAATGCAATACTTCAGTAATGACACGCAAGCGGCGTCTGCAGGAAGCAACAGCAACTGCTAACGAGGCAAAAATAACGCGAGGCGGATCGACCTCAGTAATTGACTCTGTTTAACGCCGCACCGACTCTCCTTCATCTCCTGACCACATGCTTCGTAACAAGCATTCTTTTTGTTCATACCTTGATTTGATTGCTGCTTCGAATTACAGCTACAGCACGCCGATACGGCTTTACCAGCAACGCCCATGTTTTACGTATGTCGAGCCAACCAAGTACCTATTTCATATACAGCTGTGCGCGCGTTCCTTTCCAACTTGGGGGAAACTTAATGATAATACCCTTGCGATTTTGCAGTGTGGCGGGAAGTGATGACCAGTCGCATTTCCGTCAAGCCAGCTGCCGCAACCCGGCTTCCTTTGCTGTTGATATGTGGAAACCCGGTTGAACCACAAAGGAAAGAGGAACTTTCTTTCCTTTCCTTTCCTTGTCTCTCTCTGTTTTTTTCATTTGGCAGAGCAGTATGCAGTAATTGCGTCCTTCCTTTCACTCTTCTGCTTAACTTGTCGTGGACGTTTGTTCTCGTCTTCTTCTTTGTTCTGATTGTTTTCGGTTACGTGGTCTACGGCGTTGGGGTATTACTCTGAGGCCCCCTAGGAAGCGTTGGGAAGGGCCGGAAGGGCCGGCTCGGATGAGATGAAACTGTGATTTGGGATGGAGACGTGTGTTTTGGCAATTTGTTCCGAAGGGAGCATGCAAGACACCTGACTGTACCAAAACTTGTATATGGGCGGCAGTGTGGGTGGTAATAAAAACTCCGTGTAGGATATGAGTAGGGAATGTCTATGTTTCAGAAGAGAAGAGCAATTAGCCTTCGCGAGACGCACGTTGTTGTATGTATGATGTTAGTTGCTCGATACAAACGATGGATGGAAGGGATTTCTTGTTTCAAGTCAAAAAAGCAACATATCATGGCTGCAGGGCTCGATGGCGCGGCACGTGGAGTTGACGTGCAGGCTGCACGTCGTCGTCGTTGAGAGTTGAGACACGGAAACGGAACCCCACACATAATTGAGTCGAGGTTTCGGATCGACTTGAGACAATGGCAAACTGATCCACAATCAACGCAACTAACACTTGGACCATGAGCATGCCGCCGAGTGTGACCATTCAAGACCTACACAGAGGGCTCCCAGACATAGCATGCTGTTAGTATATATATCCATACTCTGTACACCTAACGACATATATCCCCATACATAGGCCCGTCTAGGCAGAACTTACCAGGAAACTGCTGACTTGTACAATACAGGCCGTGAAGACGAGTAATCACTACGGGCTTGTTTGAGGAGCAAGGTGTGACCATGAGCTTTGCTTCTTTATTGAGTGAGCAGAGATGCGTCTAAGCTATCCATACGAATATTTCCGCAAACATGATGGATAAATACTCTGCACAACACCCCATGGCCCAAGACGACATTTAGCCGAGGCTGCTGCGGTTCTTCTTCCTCTTCTTCTTCTTCTTCTTCCTGTCAGATTTGCCCGCTTGCTCCAGATCTTGGTTCTCTTCTTCCAGCAAGCCCTGAGCCCACTCTGACCACTTGACGTCTGTCAACTGCTCATTCTCGGCCACCGCAGTCCACCGCGACTGGTGAATATATTGATACACTTCGCCCGGCGCAAACGGGCCCTGGGCCAACGCCTGCTCCTGCGCCAGCTCTTCTTGGCGCTGGCCATACTGGTGTGCGAGCTGATCCCCGCGTCTTCGCAACTCGTTGTTATACCGCTGCCGAAACACCCGAGGCATCATCTGGAACACGACACCGTGCCTAACACCGTCCATCCGCCTGAGAGTCCGACGCTGGGCAGCCAAGCTTTCCAAAATAACATCATGGCCCGCGGGACCTCGGCTGCTCTCCCCGTGCTGCGGGCGGCTATCAGACAAAGAGCCGTGCCGAGAAGAGCTCGTCGTGTGTTTATGCGGATCCGGCATCGTCAAAGTATTGCCTGAAGCGTCGGACGACTATGTCTTTCCCTCCGGTACCGGGTTGCTTTGGCCTTTGAATCCGTCCAAGCTCGTTTGCCCAGAAAAGAACAGAGAAAAAAAAAAATACACGCGGCAATCTTTATACCCTTGGAGTTTTTTTTTCTTATCGGGCTATAATCGTGAAAAGCGATTTACATGATTCTCGACATCTTTCCCAAAAGGAAAGAAGCATCGTGACTAACATGCATGTAGCCGGCGAGCGTGAACAGCGACTAACACGGACCATGGGCCAAGTGATACAACGAAGCGGTGACACTGCCTTGGCATAATGACTCTTATCAGGCGCCGCTCCCCGGAAGACCATGTGGAGTGAGAAAAAAAGCCAAGTTCTCGGCTGGGCATTTGCGCAGTGAACATGAAGAGCTGTCGACTTGTCGTGACAACGATTCACACTGCGTGCGAAAGGGGGACGGGCCGGATATCCCCCTATTCACCTACCCTCCAAGTCTTACTCACCTCGCGCTTGTTCCCCGCGTGAAATTGCACCTGTTCCTGTGCAGCTGTGTTGCATGCCGGCGCTGGTGCTGTCGTTCCCCCCTTCTTTTGCTGGTGGCGTGCTTGTCTCTGCTGCCTGTAGGCAGAAGCGAGCTTGTCTTTGCATCGTGCTTCTAACAGTGCGCTTTTTTGATTGCTTTCTACGGGGAGGGACTGCTGCTCCTGTTATCAGATGGTGTGGTGCTCGGGCTTGCGGGATTGGAGACGGTGGCGGTTGGTGGTTGGGAGTTGGGCCGTGACGCTGATCTGCTACTTGCCCTTTTGGGGATTTTGCATATTGTTGCTCTTTTTTTTTTTTTTTTTTTTGGTGGTGTGGGAGTTGGGGCGAGGATGCCTTTTTTTTTTATCTTCACACTTGGTTTTTTTGCAGGTAGGACATGTATTTGATGAGTTTGAAGAAGTTGTAGTGTATTGGTGGTTTCTGGATAAAGATACATGTATCCTTGTACAAGCGGCGTGTCTTTGCCGTGTATTCCGAATTAAAGGCGCACATATCCTCCTACAAACTGTCATGTTATCCGAATAAAAGGTGCGCATATTCTCCTTTAACCTGCGTGTCTTTGCCAAAGATTCCGAATGAAACGCACAGATATCCTCCTATAAACGGCAAGTCTCTGCAAAAATCACGAGCCACGATAGAGCATAATGCGAAAAGGTCGCACACTGCGCCGACATGCCCATTCCATTGTCCGTATCGGCTCCTCAATCATCAATGTCTTTCTCGCTCCACATTCCTCACTATATGTGTCGTCAGAGTTCCTCCCATTGCCCCCCTTTTTTTTCTTTTTTTTTTTTTCTATGTATGTTCTTGTTAGTATTGTGTTTCATTTCCTTGTTATCCGCGGCCTTCTCATGGGCCTCTGCGTCCTTGTTCCTCTCGGCCTCTAAAATGCCGTCTTTGTGCTTCTCGCTATACAAGTCCACAGGTCCTCGTACTGGGAGTCCCCGTTATGCTCAGACTTGGGCCGCTCATTATGCGCCGCTAATTCTCATGCCCTTTCTGCTTGTTGAGCAGCTTGAGGAGGAGGAGGAGATTGCTGAGCAGCTTTTTGAGGACGAGGAGCTCGGCGAGCGGCTCGTCGATCGGCTTCTTGTCGAAGAGCTTCGAGTTCGGCCTGGTCCCGTAATTCCTTTTCGTTTCTTTCCACGAATTGGTCGTACAGGTCGCCGTGCTTTTTGACGTATTCATCGCATTTGTCAATAACCCTCTTTTGGAATGCTGCAGGATATAGACAGAAACTCCACTTTTTCCTGTGTCTACGCAGCTCTTCATATTTCTTCCACAGGTCGTCTAGTAACTCTTCTTGCTCAGGATGCATCTTCTCACGAGGACTCCGAGAAGACTGAGAGCTACTTGCGTATTCGGATGCGGGGGGCCCCGGGCTGTTGACGGTTTTGGGCATGTCTCGAGTATTGAAGGTTCGACACGTCGGTATTGGGAGGTTTACTGCGATTGAAAATGGGTGGTGGTATGTGCTATCAGGGGTGGCATGGCCGGCATTATACTAACAGCGATATTTGTGGCGTCTTTCCAGTTGACTGTTGCGCCTTGCACCTGTGGTGTCTGTGTTTTCTGTTTTCTTCGTGAACAGGGGAGAGAACGTGTCTTGTTGGTTTCTGGTAGTTGTGCATTTAGCTAAACTAAACAAAGTGACGCCAGTGTTCGACCAAATTCGCCCTTTGTTCATCAACACTACGACGCAGCCCATTGTGCTTTGGTGCTCGGAGTAGTCGAACAGCACACGAAGGCAGCCACGAAGTTGCGAGCGACGGCAGACTTCACTTTTCTCTCATCCAAGGACTCTCCATGGTCATGAACCTTACCCCAAACATATGCTTGGTTGTATCGAGCTGAATGACAATGGTAGACCAAGTGCTGCCCGGAATAATCGTCCAAAGTCGTAAGTAGATGTTATCGAGTCACTTTAAATCACTTCCCATCCCTCCGTAGCTATGACCGGGGCGGAGGACTCCATCTTCGAACACGTCAACTGCTTCGAAGGAAGTATGGAACTCCAATACAAGTTCTCCCGGGTCCGACGTAGCCATGATGATTTGATTGGTGGTCAATCATGGCTTCATTCAACCAGCCACAGCTCTGAATAGACGTCACGAGCAGTTTAAATGACGGCGAAGAAAGGCCCTGTGAGCCCGAAGCAAGCCTTGATTGTTCCGATGATTCAACCAACGTTGAGCAATGAAGCATCTCAGGTTCCGAACAGTGAAGAGTGGGGTATTTCCATTAGGTACCTGTCCATTGATTGGCTCCTGCTCCGCGGTCCACGAGCTTTTGGCCAGATGAGGTACCTCACTATCATGCGCCGTGCTATAATAGATGATGGCGTATTAAGCTTATACCTGAATACTTTGTTGGCCAAATTTACCTTCCTGACGCTGGTTACCATGCATGTTAAGGAAAATCGATGGACAAATTACTAGCCAAGTTCAACTCGGCGTAATTGAGGAGAGCTTCGATGAGTAGGGTGTAATTTCATGGTTTAGATATGCGATGCAAGGAAGGACTCGGAGAGAGCTTGGATGAATTCAATGTTTGGGCGGATGCTGGATAACAGGCAGCAATAGCCACCGAGCTCTTTCCGTGTTTCGACCCAGACTCTACGAACCTACAACAGCACTCTCCTCCTCAAAGGCTTCCCAAGCCACCCGACGCTGCATATACATGCACGCGCTGCCTAGAAGCACTCCCAGCAGACCCGAGAAGCATCCGTGCGGTAGCCATGGACGAGGAGGACAGGTTCTCAGCCAGCTCTCCCGAGTCGGAGCGTCCCAACGAGCCGGACGAGGTCATGGAGGATGCCGAGGACGGAGACGACGCCGCCGAGCAGGACGACGACAATAATGACGACGACGACGAGAACAACGACGACGACAACGAGAATCACGATGGCGGCGACGACGAAGGTGACGACGCCGCCGCCGTCCAAAACGCGACTGCGACTGCGACTGCGACTGCTGATGGCGACGCCAATGCTAACACCAATGGCAATGCCAACGCCCATGGCGAACCCGATGTCGATGGAGATGGGAAGTCGCGTGTCAAATCCAGCAAATCTGCTACGCCTACGCCTTCCGCCGCCCGGCTACGCCTCCGTCCATCTCTACGACCAGAGGCAATCACGGCGCGACTCTACGACATCGTCCCGACAATGGCCGCGCCCCAGTCGACGAGCATCAATGCCATGGCCATCACCCCGGACCTGCGCTACTGGATAACAGGAGGCTCAGACGGCTATATTCGCAAATATGATGGACCCGGCACCATCAACGGCAAGCTGGCCTTGACCGTCGCCCAGAAGCACCCCTTTGTCGACAGCGTCACCAAGGCCGGCATCTTAATGTCGTATTGGGAAAACGAGGAGCCAGCCGCCCCAGGACGGGGGGATCAGGACCACAATCTGTCGCCCGTCTACTCATTGGCTGTTCACTCACGAGCTCTCTGGCTCCTCTCCGGCCTAGAATCGGGCGGCATCAACCTACAGAGCGTCCGTCATGACGAGGGCAAAAAGATTGCCTGTTTGCAAAAGCACACCAACGCTGTCAGCTCGCTGATGCTTGCACCAGACGAAAAGAGCGTGCTGAGCGGCGGTTGGGACAAGAACATTTTCGACTGGGACTTGAACACTGGCCAGACCATCCGCAGCTTCGACGGATCAGGCGGTCAGATCTCCTCCATCGAGCTGCGCCCTGCAAGCGGTGACCCCGTCCCGGTGGAAGCAGACGAACCCATTCCATCAACCACCATATCGACGAATAATGGCGCTCCGCCTGTCAACGGTGTCCTAAAGGACGAATCTGGTGCGCGTGATGCCGGAGCCGCTGACCGACTTGGCGCCGCTGGTCGAGACGCCGCAGCCTCGCCTGGTAACGAGAGTCTCTTTGGCGGTAGTGACGCGGGGAGTTTATTCGGAGAGACGGCAGGCGAGCAGCCCTTCGGCAACGATGATGATGCCTTTGGTGCCAGCATGGACATGATGCCCGGCCACGAGGGGGGTATGGACCACTCTGCCGACTTTGCCATGACTGACTTGAGCACCGCCACCAAGGAACCAGATACCAAGACGGGGGAGAGTGCGCCGACTACACAATCACAGACACAGACGCAGGAGCAACAACCTCTGTCACAAGACGCCATGATGCAGGTCGACAGTGACAAGCCATCGGCCGTGGCCACCGTCACGCCGAAAGAAGCGGCAATCGCGCAACAGTCCAGTGAATCACAGCCTCCCAAAGCGGAAGACGAGTCAAGGGAAATGGCACAACTAGCCCAAGATAAAGGGTTCTTGAAAAAGTCACAATCACCCGTCCTATCAGCTTCCCATCCAGTCTCCCAGCAGCAGCAGCATTTTGACCAGTCACAAGTATCGGCAACCACCTTTCTCTCCTCGGCGATTGACGGCACAATACGAATTTGGGACCGCCGAGCGCCCAATGCCGTGGCCAGAATCGGTACGAGACAGGGTGTTCCGCCCTGGTGCATGAGTGCGTGCTGGAGCCCGGACGGCAACATGATTTACGCAGGGAGGAGAAACGGCACAGTAGAAGAGTTTGACGTGAGAAGGGCAAAGAGAGGCTGGGAGCCTGAGAGGGCACTCAAGTTCCCGGCTGGAAGCGGTGCTGTCAGCGCTGTGCGACCCATGCCCAACGGACGCCATCTTGTTTGGTAAGTGGCTTTTCCGGAGCCATCGTTATCACGCTTTTTAGTCTTTCATGAAAATTCCAGAGTCACTGGCTAACCCCTCGTCTCTCCAGCGCATCGCATGACATCCTCCGACTGTACGACCTCCACGACACCCGGGCCTTCAAGCACTCGACTGTCCCGTTCCTCATCATCCCCGGGCCCCCGCGTGCCGGCGTCATTTCCAGCTTGTACATTGACCCGACAAGCAGGTTCATGCTGAGTGCGGCAGGGACACGAGGCTGGGATGGCACGAGCACAGAAGTTTTAATCGGGTATGAGATTAATGTAGTCAATGATTAATCGGTACAATGCCGCATTTGGCACCACCAGCCGAGCCCGCCAAGATGCCTATAGTAATGTTAAAGTTCGGAACCCTAGTCTCCTTGTCATTCAGGGAGACGGGCTAATTCAATTTGTTTTAATCCATTTATGGCGGGATCCGTGCTCGGCATCCATCAGTAACTTGTGATTCCAACCGTCTGCGACCCCGTAGCGAAGCCAGCCAATGCAACCATCCATCTTGTGTCCAGAAGGCGCTATAACAAAGGGAATTCCTCCTTCCTCCTGCAGTCTGATGAATAAAAAATAACCATACATTTAAAGGCATTAACGCCGCCAGTATAATAGGAGAGGAAATACGATTTATTTCAACGGCTTTTTCTCGCTTTTATTAGGCAGTAGTACGCGTGACCAAACGTCCAAACATTCTTTTCTACACTCATAGCGTCTAGACTATTTCAATGCTATCGTTGCTAGATGCGCAGAGCTTGGTAGAGCTCGTTTGCAGAGCGGACAGATCAAGGCCCGATGTTAGTTACCTAATGCGGTAATTTTTTCGGCCGGGTTACTGCCGGACCGAGCGGCCGGGCCTAGCGCCTCTTACGCCCTGTTGGAAAATGGAAGGTGATACAATTCATCACGGCTTTTTATTCGTAATGTGATGTCATCTCTGGACTATGACGCTGGTCCGATTACGGTTTTACGTTTCGACGTACGATATGGATTTGTGGAAACACTATTTACTTTAAATGCGGTAGCTTGAATGAATCTCGTCTAAGCATCTAAGCATCTACTTTGGCCAATCTCTTCAAACGCGTTGAGGTGTCACCAAGGCGCTTGAGCCCCGCGGCTTCCGGAGGCCGCGTTATGCCATATTGGCGCGGTAGAGCAAAAATAGCTTGCCATGTGCCTCTAGTGTAACTGTTCCCGCTCATCTGTCCCCTTTCGCCTCGTCCTCTGAAAACTCTATCAGCCATTCCTCCTCCACTTCTTCTGTAGCTGGCTGCAGCGGCGTGACATCCCACGCCAGCTGCTGCGAGATGGGGATTGTTTCCGAATCTTCGAATGACAACAGCTCCAAATCGGAAGCCGGGGACTCTGTTGCGTCTACCGGCCTTTCTGGCGGCAGGCTTGGGAGATTGGCGGTCCAGGATCCCAACCTCCCTTGGCGGCTTGGTGCATCTTGGCTCGGGCTGCTTTCGGGAGCTTTGATCCCTGGGGTCTGGCTCTTTGAAGGGCTTTCGACACTGCGAGCCCCAGGCCCTTCAGGCTGGGTTCCCGTATCTGAGCCACCAGAAGAGCTTCCGCCTCGGCTTCCATTTCTTGGCAACTTATGCCTTGCATTTCGTAGTATTCGTTTAAATTGATCTGGATGGTCAACTTGAACCACCTTGTCTGCGTCTGGGCCGGGACATAGGGGCAATGCCCGACTTTGGTTTTCCCCAATCTGTCGTATAACCTTGGACCAAGTCCGGCGAGGATGTTTCAGAAGAGCATTTTGATGCCCAAAGATGTACATGCCCACTTTTGCACGGCTTAACCCAACAATGGCGCGGTTCTCTTGTGTCAAGAAACCCGCTTTTCCATTGGGTCCGCGGACTAGAGAGAGTAAGATGATGTCATTCTCCTCTCCTTGAAAACCATCTACAGTTCGTACCGACCACTTTATCTCCAGTGATGCGAGTCGTTGGTTGGCAGCCAGTTGCTTGTTGAGCAAGTCAACCTGGCCTCTGTAGTACGTGAGCATGGTAATGCGCTCTGGCGGGATGTTTCGCAGCGTGACCAGATATTGAGCAAATCGTACAATCATCTGCGCCTCTGTAAAGTTCTGTAACGAGCTGCCGTTGCAAAACCCAGGTTCTTCTGGCCAGTCATGTTGGAACCACCATAGTGGCTTAATGACACCAGAGACATGGAGTGGCAGTTTCGAGATGGTGGGCGTGTGGTCGACTAATTTTGGATAAAAGAGTTGCACGATTTCTCTCAGGCATGGTATCATGCGGCGTTGTTGAAGCAAGGTCTTGTGTGGGATTCCAAGTTTAATGAGTCGTTCAAACATGGAGATGTTAAGGCGGTAGGGATCACTGGCTAGCTCCATCATATCGACGTGTGGCTGGAGTTGCTGGTGATCGCCGAGGAGAATAAGATGCTCTATAGAGGGCAAGAGACATGCAATTGTGTCGCCTTCGCGGACCTCTGCCGCTTCTTCCATAAGCAAGATTTGAGGTCTAAGGTCAGAGATGAGGTGTCGGTATTTCATCAACCCGGTGACAGTACATCCAACCACATCGATTTCGTCCGCCTGTATATAGGCGAGGTCATTATGTACCTTGATGCTCTGAATTGACGCTCGGGCTCCATTGTAGGACTGAATAACATCTGCAATTGAGGGGCTTTTCATAGCATGAAGCCTCTCTCTTAAGTAATTGTAGATGACTTGTCGATCCTCGGGTCTGATGCTGTATAAATTGCGTGAGCTTGCCAGTAGATGACTGGCGAGGTCTTGGGAAACAGAGCTGGCCGACCTATCCGATAATGTTGGTAAAGGAATAAAACGGACTCTCGATTCTCGCCGACGAGGCCCCCGCTCGAGCCCCCGTTCGACCTCGTCATCCCGGCGTGTGCAGCTGTCTTCAAGCTTACCTTGAGGCTTGCCAAGCCAATCCGCTAAATCACATTTACCATCTTCATTCGACTCCCAACCGTCATTGGTGATTGAGTAGTACTGATCCTCCGAAATAAGATCATGGTCAAAGAGTTCTTTGGCGTTTGCTATGTCGTCACTTGGTACAATGGCCCTGCGGATTGCACCGACAGCCCGCCCAGCAATCGATGCTGCCTTTCCAGCTGGCTGTGGTCGATAACTGGCAGGGCTATGTGTCCTCCGTAAGTTCGGTATCGTGAGCTTTGCAATAACCTCATTATTACTGCGCCCGCCAAGACGAACAACTTTTCCAGACCCCGGGGTCTCCACGTATTTCTGGAGTAGTTGATCCAAGGCGTGGTTCGTTTGAGCACACACAATAACTGGTATTCTAGGTCCAGGCTTAATACGCGCCTCGCGGCACTGAAGCTGTGTTTCGACTAAGCTCTGCAAGATGACATTGGAAGTAAAAGTTTTGCCGGTTCCTGGAGGTCCCTGGATAATAGAAATCTCTCGTGTTGTTGCCTCTGTAAAGGCATTATGCTGCGACTTGTCAAGGCCTCTCGCGGTCTTTGGGATGACCGGGTTTCCATCTGGGGTTTCTTTGAGATAGGGAACATCTGGTACAGAGTGCGGGCGTGGTGAGAATATGTACTGGTCCAGGAGACAACTGAGATGTATTAATCAACGCGACAATGTGCAGATATTTTGATGAGAGGTTACCTGGTCTCAGACATGTGTTGCAATCCCACCATGGTGTGCCTAAGAGACTCAAAATATCCACTCGTTGACTCGAGCATTACTAGATTAAGCATCGGATCTAACACGACGTAATCTTGCTTCCCCCAACAGATATCAATGCTTGGTGGGACATCGCGCAATCCCTCGTTTTCTAGAACAGTAGCAACATAGCATGTGGTCTCGAAGCAGTCGCTAGACAGCACAAGCAAGGTCCCCGGGCAGAATAGCTCCATTTCGTCAGGAGAGACATCATCGTCGTCATCCTCGTCTTGGACTGGAGCATTCGGTACGATGAGTCGTTGGCCAGCTGTACTTGGTCCAAGGGCAAAGCCGACAACACGAACCTAATCGAAATCTTGTCAGTGATCTTCATTATTAGTAGGGGATTGTGACTTACTTCAGTGTAGACGCTGACTCTCTCCAGTTTATGGGCTGTACTGCCCTCTTGCTCGTTCGGGATCGATTGGTACTTGCGAGCCGTTCGCAGCGTTTGTATGGCCCGTCTTAAGGTCTCGGTGGCTTCATATCGATATAGACGATACTGAGTCTCAAGAAACTGGTCTCGTAACTGGGGCCGGGCTTCAAAGTCGTTCAATGGGAGCCTGGGGGGCTCGCTGCTCATAAATTCTTCTGCATCAGGGACGTCGGGCATCTGCCGCCAGTCGCGTGGAGGCTGAATAGCTGCATTTGTGCGGGAAAAGAAGTCGGAAAAAGTGGATTCCATGGTAGAATATGATGGGGAGGAAATGAAGAGAACGAAATGGGAAGAAAAGGCAAAAGGGCAGATGGACGTGGACGCGTCTGGTTTAAACTCATAATGCTTGCCTTGCCAGCTGCCAGCTCGCCGTTTGCCTTGCCGGCAGCTGGCATGGCAAACGGGTCCATAAAGACAAACCGAGCCCAAGACGGAATCATTAAACGAGTTGCCCTGCGCCTGGGTGTAGAGAGCCATATCAGGATATTCTCTAGTGTTCGATTGAATTCTCAAACTTTACCGTATAGTGCGGTGTAATCGTGAGTCCTGATTCAACAGAACATGCAACCATGTGGACGGGCAGCATCACATCTTCATCCGTTGCGAGATAAGCAAGGTGAAAGAAGTGCATAAGACATATGTTAGTGACGAAATCCCCTTCTCTATTGTCTTGCTTCTAGTAAGTAAGCCTCTCATATCACCGATTTCGGCCCCAAGTCTTCTCACATATGACACTCAGTTCGTATCTCAAAACAGGTCCCGGAGGAGCAGTGATATGTCGACGTCTGTTGGAAATAGAAGTCATAGACTCTGATATTTACAGCCAGGGAGCTTGATGGTAGAAGAAGGTTTTCTAGCAACCCGGGGCCGTAAATCTTGCTAATGAATTCGAGTGAAGCATTGCAGATTAAGGTGTTCATTCTTCAAACCTATAACAAGTAGTCATTTTCATTACGCTGTAACAACGTGAATTGCTCGGGGTGCGTTTTCATTTTGCTCGGGGTGCGTTTTGCCCCACTTCACCTACTTTTTTACGGTAAGGCCCGCTGCCACACCCCACAGTACATTTTTAGTATAAACGTATGGCAGCTTCACTTAACACTAAAAAGCTCCAACGAAAATTAACGGATTTTTTAATAAGGCTATAGCTATACGATTTTTTTAACGGTAGCAGCGTTTTTCCTTCTTTAACACTATAATTAATATTATAATAGCTGAAAATCCGGAAAATTCGCCCCTAAATTTACCGCTATTACTAGGTTATAGTAGCTTTAATAACCTTTTTAACGCTATATAGCTATTTAGTTGCTAAAATAGAGTTAAATTTAAAAAAAGGTCCATGAATTTAAATATTATTAACGGTATTTAATAGCCTTATTAAAGCTAGCTTAATTGTGATTACAGTGGGTAATAAAGGCCGCCTTAAGGAGCTAAAATCTAATAGACTCGCTCACGAAAAACTAACTACGTTTACTAGCTTAAGGTAATATCTGCTAATTAATTCGGTTATTAGGTATAGTATTATAAGGAGTAAGGCCGTTATAATCACGATAAATCTAGCAATACCTTCATATATTTAATATATCGTTAATTTATAGAGTAATAAAAATAACAGATATCACGCCTTTTAAAGCATTAAAGCCTATTAGCTTAAGGTATTAGCTTAATTATTTAAGTTAATAAAGAAGAAGAGCTTTATTTTCGTTTAAAAGACATTTATAATTAACGTTAAAGAGCTTATTAAGTGGATTTAACTAGTTATATATTTACCTAATAGTTCGTTAAGGTTCTTAAAGAAAAAGGCCTACCTTATAGAATTAAATTCAATGATAAATATCATATTAAAAGCGCTATTTAAACCTACCCTTCTTATATTAAAAAATGGAAGGTTTTTTTAGAATTTATTAGGATAAATAACACCTATAAGACTAACTATTAGGGTCTTTATTTATTAAATATCGTTACTATTACTAATTAAAAATCAATTATAAATATTGCCTTTAGCTTTAGTTAAAGCGAAAAGAAAGAGAGCTACTATTAGATATTAGCCTCATTAAATGAAATTTGCCGCGAGCTTTAAATCCCTGCCTTTAAGGTTATTATAACGGACTTTAAAAAAGCATTAAAAAACGCCCTTAAGGTTATTTAGCTAAAAATATAATAATAGCTTTATACGTAGTATATTCGTTAGAATATTAAGGCTAACT